TAAAGAAATACTTCCAAGGGAGGACAAATAATTCCTTACCTTATAAGAGATTTTATTATTTGAAGTATTATGTTGGTACTTATTGACCCAACTTTGATTTGTAAGCTGATGATGAAATTAATTTGGCCTTTGGTGTAACCACAATTAACTTCTCCAGAAGGGAGGTGATTCGATGTCTTGCAGTGAAAAAGTCTCTTTGGAAGGAGCAGCCCAGGGTTTGTTGTGTTGTTTGAGGCTTCAATAGACTCACGTCAGGCTGAAGTGGTTTGTCTGCCCCTGGCTGGTCCGCTGCACTGGGTGGGATTCCACCTTGGAGGATAAATTATGGAAGTTCTTTCACATCAGAATGACTGACTATTATCTCATGTGGGAGTTTAATTCCTCGTTCAGATTCCAGATAAAGGACCAAACAAAGAACTGGAGAATGACACCGATTGAACAGTGTTTAATATTCTTTAGAAAGTCTGGTTAACCTGTCACTGCCAAATGAATATGTGTTGTGTCTGTCTGTACTTCAAACTCTGTCTCACATTAATAAATGAAAGCAGGAGAAAATATTTGAGCTTTAAAACTACCTACAAGGAAATATATGAAACACTCCCCTACCTCTGGTAATCTGGCAATCACTTACTGAATGAAGGGTGGGGAGGAAGAAAGAGAATAGAAAAATAAAATAGGGATCCCATTTAAATATTCTGAAACAGTCTTCTGCTGTTACCTTACCGAAACACCAGTCTGAGAACTCTAATTTTTTAAGTTATTCTGGAATTACAGATAAGCAAGCATAGGACAAATAATTCAGAAAATTCATATGAGATGTGGGGAGGCAGTTGAATGTACAGTAAAACGTGAAGTACAATGTAAAAACTACATTGAAAGTACCATGCCATTTATATAAATATGTATGTATGTATATATATATATATGTATGCACATATATACAAAACCCTTATGAACCTCAGATTTGCAGGCTGTGATGTACAAAGATTTAACATCTATATGATCTAGTTCTTGGGAAAAAAAAAGACCACTTTGGAAGTTAGAACCTAACAGTATTCCTCCTTATGCCAGCTACTCCACACTATTCAGTTAACCTCATGCTCAATTTTAGATTTGGACATTATGAAAATAGAATTAATGAAAAAAAGCTCAGTTGGCTGGTGCTGGAGCTCTGATCCAGTCTGATCCTGTCTGCCCTGTTAGAAGCTGGAGAGGGTCATGGGTGTTGGCAGCTGCTCATTGATTCCAGATACTGGAAGAACATTTCGTTGGAACAATTTTGACTTTTTATGCCCAAAAGAAGAATTTTCCATATGAAAATTAAATTTCTTCTTCCCTTTGTCTTCCTTGGATTACACTCCTCCCACTCTACCTTGTGCACCAGCTGGAAAACCTGAAGCCAAGATTCCTCAGCTGCTGGCTTGGAGACTCCTGCAAACACCACCTCCTATGCACGTGCCAAGGGTACACACTTCTTACATCTTGCTTTAAGGTTTTTTTTCTAATAGTTTGGGACACACATTTGCAAGTGAGCAAGGCAGAGGGAGCAGATAGCAGGGCACCAGAGTAGCTATTAGTAGATCAAGTTTTTACTCCTTCCGTTTCCTCTGATCAGCTGTTCAAAGCAGTATGAAAAGCTGCAAGTATTCCCTGGGGAGAAGAAAGAAAAAAAAAAGGAAGAAAAAATTGAAGCATTTCAACATTAAAAATCATCAATTTATTTGTTAAAAAAAATCATTTGAAAATGCCCTGTATATTTTTTTCAGAGCTCATACTGGTTTAAAGCAAAGAAATTAAATCAAATATATTTATTTGATTTTTTTTTTTTAGGTTGTCACTTTTGAAGCAATTCTTACTTGTTTTCCCACTTACTGTGCATGGGCTTGCTTGCAGACTTGTCCCTGAGTGTTTCAAGAAGATTCCTTCTGCATGAGGCTGGAAGGCACACACTGTGACCACACACCACACTCCAGTCACTAAGGGGTCTCCAGGGTACAGACCTCAGCACCAGCTGTTCTGCTCTGTGAATTCACTGCCTGCAACCCGATCCCTGGCAATGGAGACAGCCAGGTCTAACCTGTGCTGTGCCATGGGCAGGGGTTACCCCCAAAGCACCTCACAGAGGTACAGCTGCTGTACAGGCACATTACAGAGCTGATGCCTTTGTTTGTCTCTGAAATTCCAACAGCAGCAACATTTTGAGAGAACAACAGCTTTAGAATTTCTTTAGGGCAATCTAGTAATGCAGTCGTGTATTCAAGGATTTGCTAACAGCTGGAGAGATTTGAACCTGCACCCTCTTACTTTTGTCAGGAAAGTGTTGGCCTGTACCCTCTGTAGTATTGCAGAGATTTGAGATAATCTTAGAGAAGATATGTGCTTGCTTTGCACATATGTTCCAATTTCAGAATAGACTGCAGCAGGTGATGTGCTCTCCAGATCCACTCCTCCCTTTTTTATTTAGGATTTGGCTTTCTTAGTAGGTATCTGATGGTACATTGAAGTAGAATATGTATCCTAGGAATGACAAGTACCAGGTGGCTTGTCCCAAACAACAGCTATATTCTGGTTATCCATATCATAGAATCATAGAGTGGCTTGGAATGGAGGGGACCTTAAAGATCATCCAGCTGTGGGCAGGGACACCTTTTACTAGACCAGGTTGCTCCAAGCTCTGTCTAACCTGGCCTTGAACACTTCTAGGACTGGGGCATTTGCAGCTTCTCTGTGCAACCCAGGGCCTCACCACCCTCACAGTAAAGGATTTCTTCCTGATGTCTAATCTAAACCCACTCTTTCAGTGTGAAGCCATTCCCTCTTGTCTTATCACGATATGCCCTTGCCAAAAGTCTCTGTTGGTTCCCTTCAGGTACTGGAAGGTCACAACTAGGTCACTCCAGAGCCTTCTCTTTTCTGGGCTGCACAATCACAACTCTCTCAGCCTTTGCTCGTGGTTCAGGGTGGCTGTGAAAATGATGGCTCAAGAAGAATCAAGGTCAGGTTGGATGGAGCTCTGAGCAACCTGGTCTAGTGGGTGGCATCTCTGCCCATGGCAGAGGGCTTGGAACAAGATGATCTTTAAGGCCCCTTCCACCCCAACCCCTTCTGTGGTTCCATGAAGAATCAAGCACACTGAATGCATAATTCAAACTCCTTTGTGGCCCCTCCATTGCAGCACAGAGGAGATACAGACTTTCACTGCTGGTGAGGGAATTCCAGATGGCTCATGTGCTCCCAGAGGTAACTCCTCATCAGGCACTTTGTGGTACCAGCCGTGAGTCTGAACCGCTTTCCAACCCTTCTCCAGGGAGTCCTACAGATCCTTCAGGGAGGATGAGTGACACAGATCCTTCAGGGAGGATGAGTGACAATCCCCCAACAGCAATTGTTAATTATTTTCCAGCTTTGAAAATTAATAACTAAAAAATCCTATCTAATCAAATGGGATTTCAAGCTCATAGTTTAAACTGTACTTTCATAACTGTAAATTTTTTTCTCTTCCTTCCCCTGAAGGCACCGTCTTCCTTGGAAGGTAAAGATTAAGCTGACAGATGGTATCAGCAGAAGAATGATTATGAGTTTTAAAAACCTTGATATTTTGGCTTAGTACACCATTTTTCATGCAAATACTGTCATGGATATTAGCATCCAATTAAAAAGGCATAAAACTATGCCATTCAGTTACAGTTTACTTTACAATCATTTAATGTTTCATTAAAAATGCTAAGAAAGGCTGCTCTGAAAGGGATAAAAATCAATGATCTATATATCACTTCTGATGCTTTGCTCTTCTGGAACGATGTGGTAGTGAAAATGAGCTATAAATATCTTTAAATTATTCTGGTAATCTGAGTTGCTGTTTCCATTTTTAGGTTCTATCTTTACCAAAGTATCAACTTACATCATGACACACTATCTTGGTCTTGAGGTAGTGTTAGTAAGGCAAAGTGTTAACTCTTCTGTGTGTCTTCACAGAGTACTTCCACGTGGTGATCCAGATATTTTATTTCTATAGGTTAGGTTATGTCTAAACATATACCACTTTTTAGCTGGACAAGAACTGTCAGTGATATGTGCTTGCCTGCAATTTAAACACCAAAACACCTAATGGTCTACAGGCAAATGTTTAGAAAAGTCCTTTGTTTTTTGTTTAGTTTTGTTTTCCCTGAGAAAACCCATCCATTGAAAAATAATACTCTTTGTAATTAGAAGTAATGCTCTAACTTATGTTAACATCACCATATTCACATCACTTTTTGAAAATAAGGAATAAGTGGAATGAAATTTCCCAATTTCATGTAACTTATGAAATAACCTATGCCTATTAAAACTCCAAAATCGTTCACTTGATAAGAATATTTCTCTCTGTAAACACCATTACCAAATTAGCTTAAAAGTGAAATAAAATTCATACTTTGGAATCTCTTAAAAAATTTTCTGATGAAATGTCTTGATAATTTTGAAATATTTTCCAGAGTGTTTTTAAGTAAAAAAAATTCATTACACTGCTTTTTGATAAATATCAGGGGTTTAATATGCTAAATGTTCTTATTTTAACCAAAATGGTATAATTCAAAAGGTCTTGACAAACTATACTTACATTAATTTGTCTTTCTCATAAATAGGCAAAAAGTATAAATCTCCTCCTTCTCATCACATCTATTGTCAGTGAACAAAATATAATACTGAGAATTATTCAGATTTCATTAAATGCTGCTTTCATGAGAAACCTTAAAAACTTTGGACAGGCAGCCACATTATTTAGCAAATTACTTAACTGTTATGTGATGGATAAGCCAGGGGCAGGCTAGTACATGCTGTGAATAGCGATAATAAAATAATACAACTTAACCTTCTCATCACATACTGCACTAACACATCAGCTTACACCATCCTCAGCCTGAGAGCACTCACCTGGACAGGTGTCAGGGCTCACTTATCAAACTAACTTGGTCAGCTCAATAATCCTTTTTAGGCTAAGAAGCCCATGACACCTCTCCTTGCTTTATTTTTTTCTCTCTCTATGAAAAGTGAACATTGATCCCGTCTCCTTGTCTTCTGCAGCTTCTTACTCCTGCAAAGTGGGATGCAAGAAGGATATCCTGTTGGATACAGGAAGGATGACTCACCTGTATGGATCAGTCTGTAAAAATGGTAGTGAGTGCTGAAAAAGAAACATCACTTCCAGACAGTGTTTCACCACAAATAGCAATGGCTGGTTGCAAGTATTACTTTCAAGTTGTCCTCTGTATTAGGAGATATCAAAACCTCCAGTGGCAATTCATCACCTTTCTAATTCTATTGGCAGTAATGGAAAAATGCCAAGCTGTTTTCCACAAATTTCATTGTCTCTCTTTAAATTCATATAGCACCCAAGATTAGAGTACAACATGAGTCAAAGAACATTGACTGGCTGTTTGGCGACCAAAAAAAAATTCAATTCTGTCTTAGAGAGATGTCACCAAGTAATTTTAAAGGACAAGGGAAAGTAGAATATCAGAGTGAAGGTTTTTAATTGGAGATGTTGAGGCTTTTTTGTTTCATTTCATTTGCACATGGGTTGGTAACAAGACTGTCCTTTGAGGCCATGTCATGAAGGCAAACTTTGTCTCAACTCCTAATACCCATTGCCTTTGTCTCTGGTATCAAAGGTCACTTGTAAATGCTTTAAGCTTTGAAACACTATCATCATAACAAGTAGCCTGGCTGATTTTGCAAACTCCTCTTGCAAAGTTTTCAGAGACTAATGTACATTTTTATGGTTAGTATAAAGGGTAGGAAATAGTCTAATTTCGTGGAATGGCTAGAAGCTGATGGTAACAAATTCAAATTCAAAGGAGTATATTACAGATAGGTAGGCAGCAGGACAATATACCTAGGAAAGCAATGGATTGTTACACACCTAAAAGCCCTGTAGGGATTATTCATTTCATTTGAAGAGCAAATATTTTAAATCTTTTCTTCCAGAAAGTCAGAATACCATCATCTCAAAAATATGAAAAATCAGAACATTTTTTCCTAAGTGAAATATTTTGACAACTCTTTACAACATGACTTCGGGCTTTTTACCAGATTCCACAATGTACCATAGGAGGCAATTTGGGACATTCCAGGAGGAGTCATGTGGGAACATAGTGTGGAGAATGCAAAAAGAAAAAAAAAAGCAGCTGTCTACTTTGTAAAAAATGAAGAACTTGGGGATTCGTGATACAATGTTTAGACCTCCTGCGGTTTTTATTCTTCAACCACAAGTCGGCAGTTTTACAATATCGCTTAGTGCTAAGTGACCTGTTCTTTTCTGCAGGGATTCAGCCAGACAGGATACAGACAGGGTTATTCCTCAATTTGGAGATAAGGGTGTGAGTACTCAACGCCTGGATCAGCCCAGTGCTGAGAGATAGAGGAGAGCAATGAATGAAAACTTCCAGGGTCTCTTCAAAGATGTGCCTGCCATTTATCTCACACTGTATTCTGGTAAACAAAACTCAAGGGATAATACATTAGGGAATAATCAGACTAATGATCTGCAGAGATTCTTGTGTTAATGTTGTCTCTTTATACTAAAAGTATGCTTTTAGCTAAATGCCTTTTCAGTTCCCTTCCTGGGCATCTAAATGAATAAAAGGGTGATAATGGAACTTTCCTTATTTTAGGAACATATTTGTAGCTTAATGAAAGAGCTCTTGGGGGGCACAAAAGACAGAGCTGCAAGTGCTTAAACTAATAGAAAAATGTTTTGTGGATTATGCAAGATATGAAAATATAAACTGCTCACCATGCTATCATCTTCATCTTAAAGAAAAATAAAAACCAAAACAAATGGTAATAAGATTTATAACAGCAGTCAAACTTTATCCTATCATTGCATTGTACATCCTACTTCTGTAAGTTTTCAGGAAGAAACCTGCAGTAAAGTTTCTTGGACAACCAAAAACCCAAGAATTTGTTTCAATACATAAAATCACAGAGTCATTGCTTTAAGAGATGATATTTGTCAGAAAAAAACTAACTAGTCTTCAAATATATACAGCCACCAGCAACCTTGATACACCAATCTATTAAAAAATTTGGGGCTCTATAATCTTAACCATTTAAACGGTATGCATTTTTAAGGAAAATTGAAATAAAATTTGTCATCTGTGATACATTAAATTTACTTATGAATTATGGAGTGGTCAAGTTCTGATCTTGTATTCTTCTTGACTGTTCTCAGGGCAGCATGCAACTTCTCAATCTAACAGAGGAATACAGCAATTTTTTTGCCTTCAGATGGTCCTTCTTAATTTGGCATTTGGTGATAGAAAAAAAACCCCACATACAAAAAAAGGGAAAACTGGGGATAAAATCTGAAGTAAAAATTTGAAGGAATGTGAAACACTGTAATATGTCAGCATTTGATCTAAGGAACCTACAGAATTAGCATAGTGAGCATATGTTCATGTTCAAAGATAACAGACATTTTTGATAACCCTCCCTAAACTTAGCTCATCTCTGATTTACATATTTAAATGTTCTTTTTTTTTTTAATTACTTAAATCAGGGTCACCTTCATCATTTGTACAGAAATACACACACAGCTTTCATTTGTATAAATGTTTAACTGCAAATATTGCACCTCAATTTTTATACAGTAAATCTGTATCAAAATGCTCATTTTCTTATTCAGTAATTTTTGTAATGTATAGTTATATTTTCTTTCCTTGCATATGTGTCAAAACTCTCTCTGCAGAAATGATACTTGAATCTCATTCCTCCACATCTGAGTTCACTATTTGTTGGATCTATTTTCTCTCTCCTCCATAATCTTCTCTTTTAAACTCCTCAGTAAAGTCCTCCTGGACGGCAGCAATCTAGCTGGTTTGAAGTTCTTATCAGAACTTCTATATTTCCAGGAAAAGATTTCTAGCACAAGCCATTTCTGCCAAACATTTTTTACTAGCTCAGTATTAGCCATGACTGAAGATCATTTGGTGTGGACAAACAAAGGGGGTGATACAATAGCATAAATCCCATAATTCCATTAAAAACATAGGTAAATGTCTAAAATACCCAATCACAAGATTACGTTAAAACATTATAAAAGTTTCTTAAAAATGCAGGTGTTATGGTTTTTTTGTTTTTATACAGTTTACTTGCAGGAACCGTGGAGAACCACACAGGAACATTCACAGTTTTACCTATGAAGAATAAATTTTAAAAGTGACTCCTTCCTCAGCAGCTGATTGTGGTTAGCTGTGACGAACTACCAAGGCCCAAGTACATAATTCTACATGTAACATTTAAGCTGTGAATGTTTCTGCCTAATTTTTGGTTAAAACACAAAGCTGTATTTCCAAGCTGGCCTTTGCTGTAGACACATTTCTATCCAGAACTAGCTGGTCCTTCTGGCTCACTCACCTCTCCAGCTGCACTACTGACTTGGAGGATAACAGCAGGCTGGAATTGGGGCCTGATAGTGCTGTGTAAATATCTCAGTCCTTCTTGGAACTGATGAAGAAAGTATTTTCTCCCACTTTTCCCCCCTCCCCCCCCTGAAGTGAGATCTGATTAGATTCTTAAAGTCAAAATTCTCCATCAAGGTATCACAAATACTCTTATTAGGAGGGATAGATCTCATGGCATTTGTATGAGGAAAAAGCTGGGCTTCTAATCAGGTCAATTTTGGAGCTGTATTTGTGTTCCACATGTAATTACCCTCCCCAGGCCAGGGAAGCTTGCCAAAGGCATTGCTGTAGCTTTTTACAGCAGGTTACATACTCACATTTTTGTACATGAATCTCTAAAGATACTTCAGGGCAGCACTGGAGAAGCAAACTGCATTACTTGCTGTGCCAGTGGATATGCAGCTTCCATGGATTCAAACAACGTCTGCTCTTTATTGGAAAGTTTCAAAAGTCCTACATCCACTTTTACTTTGGCTACACTACTAAAAGCAAACAAAATACAGCTCACAGTGTTCAAGAGTGGGCATTAGCTCTGCTATCTTTCATGCTCTTGGTTAACGAAATCCCTGGGGTCATTTGTCAGTGTTATGAAGCTCCCACAGTGAGTGCAGCCAACCATGCCATTCAATGTGCTGAGCACTGGGTATACCTGCCTTCCTAGAAAGGCTTGGGGCAATGGATGAGCTCATTATAGGGTTAGATAACCATTTTAAGGCTTTTTGCTGTTTTCATAGTCAGTTCTTCGCACTGGCTGCTGGAGGCACTTCCATACTGCCAGGAGTGAACAGAGATTAATCTGATTCTTTCCCATTTATGAATATTACAAAAAAAATATATCAAAGCATATCCAAGTATTTTGATACTAACTGCACCTTCTGTACATGGATAACTGGATTTGCAGAATAAAATGACCCCTCAATGCTTTTCCACTCACTACAGCTCCTGGTCCCTCCACTAGCAGAGCTGCTGCCATTGAAGTTCTCCACCTTGAACCTCACCTGCCTTTTAACAGCATGTTCTCTATTACCTACCTTGTTCCCTCCAAAACGTGGAACTCACAGGGATGGCTGTTCTCCACTGAGGTGTGTGCAGAGGAGTCATCCAGAGGAGAGCAGCGCTGTGGGCCACGCTTTCCTTGACAGTTCACCCAGGGAAAGCTGCTTTAGCTTCAAGGGGAGAAAAAAATAGAGACACAGGCACAGGAGGGCTGGAAGAGCATGAGGTGCATGTGGAGGTTCCGGATTAGAATCACTGAGTTTGGAAAGGACTTCTAAAATCACAGAATCCAACTATTAACCTAACACTGCCAGGTCCACCACTAAACCCCAAACACCACATCTACATCTACACATTTTTTGAACACTTATTAAGTGGCACAGCCACCAGAGACAGAATCTTTTTGCATCAGGGTGCACTGAACAATGTTATATATTCACCAGCTCTGCAACCCATAGTTTAAGAAGACAACATCATTAAAACAAGAGGTTTAGACTCAACTGCTGTACATTTTAGAAATGTTCCCAGTGAGAAAGGTGCGAGGACTGCACTGAGAATGTGTGAAAATTTAACGGGTACAGTAATGGTTAGGACTTCATTGATATCCTGATGCATAAACTCCTTCTCCCTGTGTATTTATCTTCTCAGTCCTTGAGAAAGGCACTAACAAATATTTGGGCTAAAGTGACACAGTAATAATATTTGGCTTTTAATACTGAAACTGAAGAATGAAAATACCCAAAAAGGAGTAAATAAACTCTTTGGAATGTATTATTTAGTTGATTTCTGCAAAATGGAATGAATCATTTATCAATTCAATGTTTTTATTGCTAAAGAAACTACCTCTGTTTTATGAATGTCACTCAGTGGGTTAAAAGATTGCACTGGGCTGGTAGTGTGGATGAAGGCCAGACATAATTATTTAATTTTGTTTTATCCACACATGTGTTTATTAATATTCTTGAAAAATACAAAACTGATATCACAGATCTATATGTGCATGAAAAAGTTCATTTTCTTATGATAAATATTCATTATTCAGGGCAAACAAGGCATCCTATGGTTTATATATAAGAAGCTCTGTAAAGACACATTAAACCCAGGAATATGAATAGTTTCCTGTTACAAAATCTTCCTTCACATGAGGCACATGCAAAAACACCAACAAAGAAAAAAATATCTGTAATATCAAACTTGAATTATTAAAATGAGCCAATCCTTTGCAATAGTATTATTATGGATCTTAGTTTTCCATTATTTTGGAAACCATGTGGGGTTTTTTCAGCAAATTGGGAAGTTCCTATTTTCTGCAACAGTATGATTGGAGAAAGTCAGACAAATATATTTAGAATTGCATGGATATATCTGGAAAGCATTTGTTTAGCAGTGTTAATCAGTTGTGTCAGTTCTTCCTAAAATGAATTCCTTCAAAATTGAAATTGGGAAAATTGAAGTTATATCTGTAAGTTAGACTTGATACAAGCTGTCCTATGAAACCTTCCAGAGCTATGGAACTAAGGTAGCAAATGTAATTGTGGATGCCATAATATATGAAAGGAGTCTAGAAATAAAGGTAAAAAGGATCCCTAATAAAACCTTACTGGAATGCATTCAGTGATTAAAAAAAAACAAAACAAAACCGAAAAACCCCAACATAAAAGGCATAATAACTATACTTGAGTCCTGGATAATGTCCTCCTCCTACTCTTAATCTGGTATATGGCACAAGAATACAGCACATAAAGTTACAGATTTTTCCTATAATCACAAACGCAATAAAATGAGATATTACCAAGTTTCCTGTGCTCATATAAAAGAAAAACATAATTTTAAAAAGAAAGACCTATATTTCAGTTCCACTTTTTCAGGAAAGCTTCAGATCTTAGGAATGTTAAATAACAAAAAATTATCTGGCAACAAAAAGAACTGCCTTTCATTTGTTTCCTTTTTGACTTATGTCCAAAAGCCTGCTGATTTTTCATTCATCTGCATCAGATTAAGTTCAGGTGAGAGGCTGGGTGTATTCACTTTCTTTTCTCCTAGGAAAGCTGACCTGGTTATTGAACTTGTTTCTGCGGTAAAAACCTAAAATATAACTTCCTTGGTGCTGCTATTCTCCCAAGGCATTCACAAACTGCATAGTTCTGCATTCCTAGATTATCAAAGTCTGCTTATAAAAAAAGCCTTAAGTGGAAATGTGAAATTAAAGAAAAATATTTTTATCATTTCTAAGTTATGAAGAATAATTTAACTTATTGTTTAATCCTGTAAGAAAATATTTATTGAATAGCTAGTCATTAAATTGTCAGATTAATATATATATATATAGGGCTCAACTAGTTTAGTTGCCTTCATTTGTCTACCGGTATTCATTTCTCTACTAGAATATACCATAGTCTTCATCCTTTGTCTTCTAAATATCAGACATTTTGATGTTTGCCTGGTGCCACCCTATGTTCAGTATATAGTTTCATTACAGAAGGATGAAATGGGGCTTGCAAATATAAAATGTCCCAGGTTGCCTTTGGGTAACTGTAATACTTAAATGTGAGAGTTATTATAATGAAACTGATAATTATACATACGCAAAAGGAAACGTGGAGGATGGTAGACGAGTACACTGCACCAGAGCTGTATATTTTCTGCAATGGGAGGAAAAGGTTAACTCTTCTTTTGAATTCTTGCTGAATTCAAAGGCAGATTTGCCACAGTAAGTTGATGAACAGGCAGCTTCTTTCCTGACACACTAGTTCCTCTATAAACACTAACAGTTGGACTAACTTCAAAGTTGGCTCTTTTAAGCCTTAAATATGTTTATGCAAGCAGCCACCATTTTCTGCACTAGGTGGGAAATACTGCAAATGTTAGTTTAAAAAATAGCAAAAGCTCTTGCAGTTGCGCCAGCAACAAGCACACTTTCCAGCAGGCATTTGATGGAGCTTTCATGTCTCATTGTTGCTGTATTTCTATGTTTTGAGGTTCCAGCCAAGTGATGAAAATATGTATATTACCTTACTTCAAAACAAAACAAAACAAAAAAAAAAAAAAAAAAAAAAAAAAAAAAGAGAAAAAGAAAAGACTAAATACCTTGAATATCTTGCATTCACAGCAAATTACAATTCATGATATTCCTCCCTTCGTTTTGTTCATTTTCTGGCTTCTGAGAAGTGGACATGCTGCTGCCTTAGTTATATTTACAGCACATGGTAAAACTGATTTCTCTGTGATCAAAACCCTTCATTTTTTACTTGTCTGTTTGTTTTTAAGCATAATATTGCTCTCGGTTAGGCTGCATAATAAACCCATGTCTAATAACAGCAACTTCTTGTTTGTGTTCTTTATATCACTGACATTTAGAGAATTATTTTAAAATAGCATAATGGGTTCAGAGACTGTTTTCAATAACAGTAGATGGTCACAATTTCACTTCAAGCTAGTATTTCCAGTGCATTTTACATTAATTATACTTTAATTAGAAAATTACATCAATTGGCATAACTGGCTGTGTGTGATGGTTTTGACTGGGTTAGAGCTAATTTTCCTCATAGAATTATAATGGGGCTGTGTTTGGGATTTCTGCTGCAAAGTGTTGATAACTCAGGGATGTGAGTAGTGCTTACACAGTCAAGGCCTTTTCTGCTCCTCACCCCACTCCACCAGTGAGGGAGCTGGAGGCCATAAGGATTTGGGAGGGGACACAGCTGGGACAGCTGACCCCAACTGATCCAAGGGGTATTCCATACCATATAGTGTCATGCCCAAATGGGGGAGAAGACGGAAGGAGGGGATGTTCAGAGTGATGGTGTTTGTCACCCCAAACCACTGTTATGTGCAAAGGAGCCCAGCTTTCCTGGGGATGGCTGAACACCTGCCTGCCCATGGCAAGTGGGGAATGAATTCCTTGTTTTGCTTTGCTTGTGTTTGTGACTTTTGCTTTTCCTATTAAACTGTATCTTTACCCACAGGTTTTCTCGCTTTTACTCTTCCTATTCTGTCCCCCAGTCTGCTGGGGAAAGGTGAGCAAGCAGCTGTGTGGGGATGAGTTCCTGGCTGGGGTTAAACCACAACACTGTGTAAAAGTGAACATTTCTTAAAGCACAGCATGAGTATTTCCATCATCTGTAAAAGTGGGAAGATGAATAGTTAATTACCTCATGAGTCCATGTAAAGGGCTACTGAACAGTTGAAGAGAGAGCAAATTCTGCTCCTATTTAAGATGTGATAACACCTCAGTATGAAGGTGTGACTTGTGCAGCCAAGCCTGCAAGACATCTCCCCTGGGCAATGGAAACAGTGGTTAAGCAGTGACACTTCGATATGGCCTTGTACAGCTTCAGGAAAGGTGTGAAGCATGAGGCACGTACATGGTGTCAACCCACACTCCAGCCTGCTCTGCACCACTGAGAGAGGTGCCACAAGCTACCCAGCACTACTGTTGTAACTGCATTCTGCTGACAGGACTTACCTTTAAATGACTTTTTGGAATTATTCCAGATATATCAGAGTGTAATGAACATAAGAATTGGAAAACAAAGCATTTATTGAACTGCATGGCTTATATACTACCTTTGTCCACAAACTAAATGTGCTAAAAACGTTTAGTGTGTCTTGGATGCCGTATATGCAGTCATTATTTGAAAAAATGAAGCTTGGGATTCTAAAATAAAAAAAAATAATTATATAATTATATTTATATACATTCTGAATTTCTTCTCTTCCTTTGAAATTTTCTTTTATATTTGCAGTTGAATTATGCTAAATTCTACTTGGCACAAAAGCTCATATCCTTTTACAAGTCAGTTGGCTGCCTTATAGTGCATCACTGTATTGGAAAATCACAGTTGGTGAGAACTGGCACATCATGGAAAAACACAGAGCATTTTACTGATATTTTAAGTTCTGAAGTGGGCAGTTGGGGAAAGACAGTGGAGAACCCTTGTCAAACAAAAAGTGCATATGCAGAAATTACTCTGTGCCAAGAAACTCTGGATAACTCAAGAATGCTGCCTGTAGATGGTGTATTTTAAACCCTCACTAAAAAAGCAGTCTGAAATACAGTCAGATCTGAAGGAAAGTCTCACCTGGGCACCCAGTGATCATATTCCTGTCCTCCGTTGAGCTGTGTTTGGAACAGAGGTCTGAAAAAAAAAACAAACATGGTAGAAAAATGTAGTAGTGTTGGCTGTAAATGCTTCTAGTCCTGTCCTTCCTAAAGCCAGTAGTGACACTCCCAACCCCAGATGGTAAAAGTCATGACACTGGCAATGCAGTCTAGAAAGACTGGGCTGGTTCATCTATATAAGAAGTATTATAAGACCAAGGGCTCAATAAATTGATCATTTCTGGAGAAGACAACTCTGCAAATCCACACAAGGACACATTGTCACTGTAGTGCCTGGAATTCAGCCTCATTCCCCAGAAAACTTAAGGTCTGAAACCACCCAGGATTTATGATGATGCCCCAATGAATTTTTGGCTGAGTTTATTTTAAAAAGAGCTCTCTGACATTACCAAGCAGTAAAGCAAAACTTCATTACTATTAAACTGCTCTGTGCCCAGTTGGCCAAGAAGACCAAGTGCCTGATGGATTTATTAGCAATAAATTGGTCAGCAATTATTACCCAAAAAAATTTTGTCAGCAATAAACGCCCTTGGTCCTGGCCAACAGCACCAGGGCAGTCACTGTCCCTCTGTACTTGGCACTGGTGAGGCCACACCTCAAATCCCGTGTTCAGTTTTGGGCCCTTCACCACAAGAAATACATTGAGGTGCCAGAGTGTGTCCTGATAAGGGCAACAGAGCTGGGAAAGGGTCTGGAGTACAAGTCTTATGAGGAACACCTGAGGGAGCTGTGGGTGTTTAGCCCGGAGAAAAGAAGGCTGAGGAGATCTACCTGAATGGAGGTGGGGGTCAATCTCTTCTCCAAGGAACAAGTGATACAAGAGAAAACCAACATAAGTTGCACTAGGTGAGGTTTAGAATGGATATTAAGAAAAAATTCTTCACACAAAGGTTGGCCAAGCATTGGAACAGACAGTCCAGGGAAGTCGTTGAGTCACTGTCCTTGGAGGCATTGAAAAGGTGTGTAGATGTGGCCCTTGGAAACATGAGTTAAATCACACATTGTGAAACTCCCCATCCTGGGGGAGGTACTGGACATTCCCATCTGAACTTGAGCACATATAAACTTTGGGGTTTGGGACTTCTGGTACCACTCGTCGGATCCAGAGGAGGACCAGAACTCCAACAGGACTGCGACTGCCACTCTCGACAAGACTGTGATCGTCACCTCAACAGGACTGTGACCATCATCCAGACCAACAGGTTTCCTTTCCTTTTACTTTGCACCTGGGGGAGCCACGGGGTGCTAAGCACAGGGGTTGACAAACACTGTTCTGTTCTTGTCCCAGGGTGTGGGATTATACATCTGTCTTTGGGGGTTAAAACCAGTCTTTCTCTGTATCATTGTAATCTTTTTAGTAAATTGTAACTCTGACTTGAATCTCTCTTGACATTTCTCCCGATAGTTTACTTTTAAACCAACACAATATGGAAAGCCCTTCCTTCAGTGGAAAAGGTCCTGAAAATAGAAACATTCATGTGGACCATTCATTTTTAGAACAGTTAATCATAATTGATCCTTACACAATGAATAGTAAATAAGAGTTATTATTAATAATGAATAATAAGAATGAATTATAATAGTGTGTTATTAGGCTATCAATAATTAACAGGATTTGCCATTTATTGTAAATACTGTTGCTGTTTCTGTTGCAGCTTTGGATGGCACAATTTATATGGTAATTTTATATGAAACAGCACCAATTACAGCTTGGCTATTACAATAGAGTAGAAGCAAATGATCACTTTATCAGTTTGGTTAACTTTTTCATTTTATTCGTTGTCAGCACAGCCTGCAATGTAAACATGATGTAGTGAAAGGAATAAAGAAGTTTTGTGCAAGTCTAATAACTTTGGCTAGTAATCTCACTTCCCCCAGGCAATCACGTGAGATGAATAAATACAGCAGGACAGAAATAAAGGCAGGCAGGTAGCATTAGGCTGGAGCATTAGGATGGGTTTGTTGGCTATAAATGCCTGCAGAAAGTGCCACTGAAAGGAAGAAGAGGCAGAGGAACACACCAGAGTGTAACAGCAGCCCTGACAATAAAGGGACAGAGTAGGGCAGGATCTTTCCGTATGATCTGATAATTTAGGCAGTGCCAGGGCTGGATTTAACAGCAGCATGGATGGAGGTACTCATGTACACATCCTCACACCTTCTACAACACCTCATCCAACCAGCACTGGCAGTGACAGTGTGTATCTTCTCAGCTTGTTGACTCAGAGCCCATCTGAGCTTGTGCTATCAACAGAAATACTAGATTATCAGACTAGGGGGAAAGCTAAACAGGAGGACACACCTGCAGGACTTTCCCAGCAGGAAAATTCAGCATAACCACGTGTTTTGGAGTATAGTTCCTATTAAAGTCCAAGTTTGGATTTTTCTGGAGAAATACTCTAGAATATATGATCACTACTCCTTTGGGAAAAAAAAATCATTTTCTTCGTAACGGTGAAGATCTTGCATTTGAACCATACCTATGAATACCCAAAATATTATTGAATGAACATATACAGGAGTTATATTAACTGGTATATTAAAAACATAATAAAATAATGAACTAGGATTTCACAATTAAAGACTTGGAAATACTTAAACACTTCAGAAGTTGGTAAATTTTCCATGTACATTAGTAATCTGTCTGAATGTTAATGTCACTGATCCTGGCTAATTTTAAAGGAAAACCATTTCCTACATATGTTCCAAACATAAAAATTTGTGAATTAAATTGAAGATATATGTTAGAGATAAGCAGGTGGAATACATCTTATCTAGTAAAAAAAAAAGGTTTAGATTTTTAATCATGGTATTACTTGAAGAGAATTGTCACTAAGATGTCCACAGCATTTAACAGAGTCTTGAAAATTTTAGGAAAAAAGCACATCTTTAAAAATATTTAAAAAAAATTCTACGATCCTGTCAGAAACTGCAACTATGATATTAATAATCAATGATTTCAGAACTACCTTAGATGAACCTGCATGGCACACAGATGGCAAGTCATTTACTTGATAAAAATGAGAACTGGCCCATCTCTGGATGCCTAGAGAGTGCCATGACCCATTAGCAGAGGAAAGACGACCTTTACTGAATAATAATTGAGAACTATTACTAAGATAATTACAAAACCAATTGACTGCCAGAAGGCCTAGACCTTGGCTCTCCAATTTATATAGCAACTGCTGGTGATCTGCACTGAAAATAAAAACACGCTTAGGGTTCGCAAACACCATAACCTCAACATCTGCCTGCCATCTAAAGATAATGATCTGGTATTAATTAATTTTAACAGTGCAATCATTGCAGAGGTAAACTGCAGCACAAATCAGACACTTAACATAACCTGAAGTTATCATGTTTCCATCCAACCTGTATTAACAGGCAGAATGCTATCAGATAAATTAAACTGTTGCAGGTCACAACATGAAAATGAATTAACTTAATTCTCTTTAACAGGGAGCATGATTGCAGCTCTGCACTGAACGTTGTATGAGTAAACATGATAAAAGCTATTCTTAAAAGTGTTTTGTAAAATGCTTCTATCATAACATTTTCTAATACACACACCTGCAACAGATTTTTCAGGTTCCTTCCTCTACAGGAAGGAGGAGATAGAAGTTATTGGTATTTGCCTGAGAACTTATTTGTGGTTTATTTTTTGTTTGTTTGTTTGTTTTCAAAAGAGGAATTCCTGGGAACAAAACTATTAAAAAAACTATTTCTCTGTTAGTGAAATCCTGGACAGCACTAAAAATTCATGAAAGATTTGCCTGAGCAAATGTCTTCTGCAGGGATATGAGGTATAAGAAATACAGCCGGCACACCATATGTGTTGCTGATTGGATTTTCAAAATTATCCTTCCTCACACGTGAACAATATTTTGAAGAAGATTTCAAAAGCAGGAGGATTTAACAACAACTTAGTGCCAAGTTTCACACCTGGGAATCGATATTTAGGAATGTAGAACATCAGAAATACCAGGCATTCTAAAAGAATCATAGCTAGCCTTCCTCCTTAAGATGGAAACATCTGAAATTACTGTGACAAGAGATTTGGATAAAATGTTCTTTTACCTAAAACCTGCTTCTTGATTTTTAACTCCACTACTGAGTCTCATAGTTGGGATTCTTTGAGGACTCTCCACTAAAAGGAGTGTTACATGTAGTCATTCTTCAAGAGAGATAATTTAAGTTGCAGCATGAAATTTATATAAAATTCAATTCACATTTGAGACCCGTAGTAAAAAAGAGCTGCCAACACTGACAGAATGCTTGTTCTGCATGACAGAAATGCTAATAGAGACAATTTCTTACCCGAGAAGGACCTATATAATAGCATGTGGTGGAAAGAGGAGATAATGCATTCAATTTACAAAAGGATATATGAGCTAGGATTCAAATTAATGAAGAGTTAAAAAAATTACCTGCACTGCCAGGTGAACTATCTATCCCCAAATTCAAGACAACTGGGACCTGAGGATACTTGCTCTGAACTTCAGGCCTCCCACCAGCTGCCAGGTCAAACCCACAAAATGTTTCAGGTTAGGCTTGAAGGTTTAGATCAGTCGGGCCTGATAATTTTTTTTTTTTTTTTTTTTTTTTTTTTTTTTTTTTTTTTTTTTTTTTTTTTTACAGCTCTACTTTTCAAGGGGAAGTGTTTTGGGGGAAGTAAAAACACTGCTGACATTCCTCTTCACATTTTCCCGACTGTAACAAAATATAGATAGAAGCAATGAGCACATGGAGGTAGGGTTGGGAGCATGAAAATGTCTTTACAGACAGAAAGGGGTTGGGCAAAACCAATTGTCATTGATCTATCCATATTCAAGTTTGGAGTAACTAAAGCATGGCATTCTCAAGACCTGTCATAATAGCTTAGACAGGAAAGTTTTATATTGGTATAATCCATTTGTCTACAAAGACCATAGCTTAGAAGACAGCATAATTTTCTTAAAACTCTTTGACAATTTATTCCTGTGAGCAGTCTACAGTCACAGTAATTTATTATATTTTTCCCCTGATCTGATATTAATAAAAGCTGAAAATATACTGAATATATGAATGGATAAATATATCTGCTGGGAGAAAGGACTTCAGTGGCAATCAGAAATAGGAAGAAGATAAATACTCAATGAGACAAAGTGAATCAAAACAAAAAGTGCTTGAGAGAGTGGAATTACTTACATTGTGGTAGTAAGAGCTGATGAAGGTAAATACAGCAAGGGTTAACAAGGAAAAATGGAGTGCAGAGTAGGTGCACATATTTTTGTATTAAATCAGCAGTGCAATAGTAGCTGACACTCCTCATAAAATAGTCCTCTAAATTCCTTGATAGGGCATTTTGGACACGGCTACTGCATGAATTAACCCCACCCCAACCATTTGTCTGAACACTCTCACCATCCCACGTCCGATACAAACTTGATGCAATTTCTGACTCGCTCAGAGAGAATATGGAAAATTTAAATCAATATATGCACAGTGTCCTTGGAATCAAGAAAGCACCTTGCTCTGGGATTGGAGCTATTGCAAGTGTTTGGTGACACTTCCTATCCAGCGCTTTCTGGGGAACCCGAGCACAGAGACTGACACTGGTAGACAGTCCATTCTTTGTGGATTACACATTTGTGCTGTAACACAGCCTAGAAAGGTTTGGTTTTAAAAATTTTCTGTCAATCACTATTCCCATCACTAATGCCTGTGATATAACATGTTTTCAAGCAGTCCTTTCTCAAGAGATTTAAGCTGTAGGATGGTCCTTATGCAGCCTTTGACTGTTGTAATTGTAGTAGAGATCAACAAAATTGGATGCTGTTCTGTCATCCTTGACTGGGCTCCTGGTGCTAATCAGGAGTTGGAAATTGCACATTCAGAATGGATTTAGAGACATATAGTATGTGACAATTCAGCAAGCAGTTAAGAGCATCGTTTTGAATTCTTAAAGGTTAGTGGTGCAAGCTACAGTGACTAAAGCTTTCTGAGCCCTGAAAGAAAACCAATTAGGTATAGGAAAAAAATACATTCCAGTAATGTAATCTGTATTTTCATGCATTTAAGGCCAGGAGAAGAGATTAGTTCATCTACACCGAGGTTTTGTTTCAGATGCTTATATTCCATCCAATTACCTCTCATATTGAGCACCCCATTACTTGTTTCCAGCCAAAAAAATCTTTCAGAAAGTATATGGAATGTATCTGAAAGTCTCTAGAGATGACGTCTACCATTTTCTGCTGCAATGTAGCCTGCCCCAAAGTTTAATTACCATCTCTGTGGAACAGAGAAAAAAAAGCAACAGCGTGTTCTTTATTTCTAATTTGAAATTGCCTTGCTCTAGCTCCCAGCTACTGGTTCTTGCTATAGGTTTCCTTGGTAGATTAAAGAACCCTGTACTATTTCATGTTTCCTTCACAGAGGTGTTTATACAGATTTAACTTTTCCTTTTTTATAAGCTCAACAGAAATCTCCCACTGGAATGCATTTTTTCTGCCCTCCAAAACTTTCTTGTACCTCTACTTTCTACATATCCTGTTTTTAGTTTGTTTGTCTTTTTTTTTTTTTTAAGTGCAGCACAGATAGCAGGGACATTCCTAATATTCTGCTATTCATCTGTAACAGAGACTTTAATATCACCATACTACTTTAAGTTGTTTTTATCCGTAACCTTAAAGGAATTTTTACCATAATGAAAACTGAGCAAATTTTGCCACTGAAACCATGGGGGAAAAGAGATGAGGCATTAAATGCAAGCAAATGTACTGAAGGAAGTCAAAATAATAGGTCAGATTTAGAGCCCAAGAGGCCAACCTGCAGAGCGAGCTGTATAAGCAACCCACACATTACAGTTTCTTTCCATAGTACTGGAAAAAAACATTGCCTTCTTACATAAAAAGCATACATAGATTTCCAACAAATATTTTGGAAAGAGCTAGAAAGAGAGAAGGAGAAAAAACACCTCAGACTTACTACAGCAGTGATGGAGCTTTGGTTTTGCATTTGCTATTTTGGTAATGATGGTATCTTTCTAACATCCTGAGAGCTGAAGGGATGACCAAACAAATACACTGTTCCTCAAAAGCCTAATACAGACTTTGAAAGTGGTCACAGTACTGAAAATTAATTACCATTTACTAAAACTGTTTGGAAACATGAACACTTTGGCTTTTCCTCCTGCCAGTCACCATAAACGGTTAAAATACAAAACTACTGGGAGGGAAGGCAGGAAATTCATAGAAGTGGAACAAATTCTAAAGCTTATGAAATCACAGCTTAATTTTAATGGAATACAGTCAATTAAATAAACATCATATAAACACAACAAACAATGCAGGTTACAAATCTTGTTAACTATGAATATGGGTACGTATTTGTTAAGATGACCTTGGTTTGTATGACACAAACTGGGCACCAGATGGACAGCAGCCTGAGGGAATTAGTTTTTTCTGCTAAAGTACCAATATTCAAGTTAATTTTCATACTTACATTCTTTTGTTCTCTGTCTTATGAATTTATAGTAGCATAAGTTCTCTATTATTCTTCATAATCACTTTTCTCCTTGAGCCTCCTTATGCTTATTGGTTTGTTATATCGCTCTCTATCTGTGCAATGATCTGTGTTTCTATGATTTCCATGGATTTATTATGCTTACAAGAATCAGCTTTAGTTCTGCAACTGTCATGCTTGAATTCAGTTAGAAATCTTAAATATCTATATATATATATTTCTTATGGATTATGAGTCACAGTCCACAATTTTAATTCTGAGCTTATAAGAAATGAAGAGGTGTGTGACATGCAAACGTGACACTTATAGATTATAAAAGTAGACTAAGAATCTTTTAAAAATATTTTATAACTACACTTGTAGCTAAGCACAGCTGCCTGTCAAAGCCTTAAATGCTTGGTTTTATTCCTCACATGGCCAACAACATAATTATTTCAGTGAAAGTTGAATTAGTATCTCCTCAAATCTGACTCAGATTAAACAAAAAAAGAATTAGAGATCGCTTCACGCTGTATTCAGGACACAATCAAAGTTCAAACAATATCACAACACAGCCAGTCTGCTGTAAGGTGCTTTATTTAATTTTCTGCACATTCAAATGCACAGGGTCTACATGAGTGCAGCCCAAGTATCTTTTATAAGCTGGGTAAACCTGAAGATGTGATGAAAGTTTTAGGAATAGCATAGATATGGTATGAAATATAACTTTCATTTAAGATAATAAAATCCTGTTCACAAAAAACATACTGAAAAAAAGATGGCTAAGAAGGCAACAGAAGCTGTAACCATGACAAGCAATGTGCAAATTTAGCTTGTTCAGGTATACAGTAAGAGAAAAAGCTCATCACGGTGCCAACCCTGGGGCAAATGCCTCATTCTTCCCAGGGTGCTTTGGACACCTGTTTCCATGAAGAAACTGTGACTCACTTTTTCACTGGAATTTTTATGCCTTTGCTTTATAAAAATCCTGATTTCAGGGATTGTTCATACAACAGTCTGAGCTTTTTGAAATCAATCTTTTCTTATGAAATCCAATAACAGCTTTCCCCAGCGGGCATATTTAATTTTGCCAAATCCCACATCAGTTGAAGCTTATTTCTGTTCACATACAAAGCCTAACAAACAAAAATTTCTTATTTTGTGTTCTGATTTGTGTATTGAGACCATGAATCTTTTCTGACAAGAGAAGCGAAAAGGGAAGTAGGGTATATCAACAATCCCTTTTTTTTCTCTATTAAATTGACCCCAAAACTTCCTAAACACTGTAACAGACAGTCAGTAAGGCCTGAAACAAACAGTTAATTTGTATTAAGTACTGAGAAAAACTTACGTATGTCAAGATCACCCACATAAAGCATCTGCAAGCTCCCATGCTTTTGTTGTTTGCAGATTTGCAGAGAGTATTTGAGTGCTGAGATGAGCTTCTGCACTTGCTCAGGGAAGAGCTCTCCTGTATGCACTCGTGTTTCTGGGGAATAAAACACACATTCACATAGTGGTGGACCTAATGAGGCTGAGTAACCTGCACAGCAGCTGGAGGGCCGTGACTGAGAAACCACTGAAAATTAATGCTTGTCTTCAGGCAATAGCTGAGGCAGATATAACCTTGTAACATTGTACATCTCAGGTATTGCAGGAGCAAAAGGAATCACCTACTACTGTCTCACAGTACAATGGTTTCCCATCTCTTTCTGCTTTCCCTGCCTTCTGCACCACTGCACAGCCCCAAGCTAAGGCTGATCACGCAGGAGCTGCCTTTCCCCCAGGAGACCCCTAGTTTAAAACTGATGCAGACAGTCTTTGCTCAGTTCATGGCAAAAAGAGAAGTCTTTGGGGTGCAATAGATCCAGCAACTATGAAAAGCAAAAATTAGATGGTTTAAATTTGCCTTCAAAATTGTATGTGTTGGATCAGACAGCAGCATTGGTTACTATTCGGTTTCGATAAGAAAGCAGTTAAAAGGGACTTAATATTGACTGATTTTTTTCAGTAACTTCTCATTTCACAGTTTCTGAGCATGAAATCAAGCCATTCCACAAAATAAAAGGTCTGATGATAAAACCCATTTAAAACAACCTTCTGTCTTATACAAGCAACTGTTGAAATTAATTAAAATATAGCACCCATCTTTTGACAGTACAAGTTTGTGGCCTCTCAGATTTTGGTTCTAGCATGTACGAGTAGATTCCAGAGACCTGCTCTGCTGCTTGGATGCAGCAGTCAGTCCCTAGTAGCAATGTGAGGTATAAAGCACCAGGCTTGATGCTCTTATAATGGGATTTAACATGAAAGGAAAGCTCTCAGGTGCCTCTGGTTGCTATGAAACCATTGACATTTTCTGTTGGAAAGTAATTTGTCCTTAGTATAGTACTAAATTAGAAAGTAAGTAAATTGTATGTGTGCAGTATTGAGGACACTAATTACTTTTGAATGGAAGATAACACTATCTGAACAGACCACTTCATGCTAGTCATGACTGGAAAAGCTCAGTGTTGGATCTCCTGTGGTCTAACAGCAATACTGACTCTGGGATGGACACTCAGGAGCAGGAACTCCATATGCAGTAGAGCTGCCTACCTTGCATCCATGTTATTTGACATCAAATGAGAATCTGGCCGAGAAATGTTGTGGAGTACCACCATGTAATTAATACAGTAGAGAAACAAAAATTTCAACAAATTTCCAAGTACCCAGCTAGGTGGGATTGTGAGGTTTCTCGAAAATATAATCAGAGAATGTTTAAGGTTGGAAAAGGCCTTTAAGATCATCTAGTCCAACCGTTAACCAGACACTGCTGGGTAAAACAATAAACCATATCCCCAGTAGAAAAAGGAGAAAGCTGAAAGGTAAATAAGGGCAGGATGCTGAGCAGCATCTTGGTTCAAACAGGCCTGCTTCTGGAGATGAGCTAGGGAAGCTTCCTTCCAAGTTCACCCTAAAGTCAATATCATTATCACAAAAATGGCTTTCAAAAAGAATCTTGAAAGTCCTTCATGAATACAGTCACTCACCTAAAAAAAGTATTTTATTTTCACATTCCTCTATAATAAACTACAAATCAGCAGTTCAGGGTACAGACCTGAGGGTAAGAATGATCACTTTTCCCCAGGTTAGTTATTGGCTGCTTGGGTCTCAGTGCAAAATCAAGTGGTAGAGGTAATCAGGATAAACCATTGGATACCAAGATTTCCTGTGAGCAACAAGGTAGCAAGATGTGTTTGGACATTAAGAACTGCGCAGTTGAAGAATATTATTGGGTCATAAATATTACAGGACAGCATGATTTTGAAAGTTTTCTTGGGTTTATATGAATAATAATATAGTATGTTCTTTTGTATTTCTTTCTTTTGTGCATTGAGTTTGGTGTGTATACCTCTACATGAATAATGCAATATAGCAAAATTGATGGCACAGTTCTTTTGTTAAAGCAGTTATGAAATGAGAAAACGAAATCTAAGAGGAAAAGTTATGAAAAAAACAACATTTCTCTAAGAATAAAAAGATGAAGTTGCCTGACCGTTTACATTTGTCTCCTGTGTCATGAATATTAGATCAGATTCTTTTTATTAATCCATTGATGGTTTCATAAGGCAACTCATTTTTGATAAACTCTGTCAGGGCTGCTGTAAATACAAAAAAGATTTATGAATTAATTTTCATACGTAAATGACAAAATCCTCTGATACATTTGAAATATCTGCCTCACAGTTAAAATAGAGATATATGTGCATGCATACATATGTATTAATTTAACATTCAGATTAGCCTGTTCTTTTAGAACATAGCTTAATGTCAACTGCCTTTTTCTGTGGGAAAGAACAGTAAACTACAAAGATAATTGACATTGAGAGCTTACTAAAAATGAAAGAGATGGACAATCTGTGATCTGGGAAGTGTGCTGGACTAAAGGTGCAGTGGGTTTTATTTCAAAAGCATTTTTATTTTCAAGTATCAATGGGTTGTGCGTATGCCACTGTGTTCTAAAAACAGATATCTACAGCTCATTACTATTATTACTAGAATTGTCTTTATAGCTACAAGTCCCAGTCATGAACCTATTAGGCTAAAAATAGCACAAAAAGCATAAGCTCTAAATCAGTCTGCAATTGAAGTGTACATGGGTAATTTACCACAGCCCTGAATATCCGTGTAAAGCCAAATGCACCTCTAAGTTCTACATTTTCTGGCAGCAGTAAATCACAGAGCTGGTTCAACCCTCCATTTCCTTTTCTTTGCCAGTGGAAGTCCTTTGCCAGGACTGTCACTGCCATACAGCCAGCACATGCTGAAAAGGCATTGAGCTGAAATCAAATTTTTCTTCATTTCCCTTGTACCACAGAAGTGACCTGTGTACCAGTGCAACCACGTCCACACTCCAGAAGGGCAGCATCTCCCTCTTGCTCTGCATTTTACAAGGGAAACTCAGAATCATTCTTTTTGTTTTACAAATGGGAAAACCAAGGTACAAAAACATGTAGTGACTTGCTCCAGAAAGAGAGATATCTAGTGCTTTTCATAGACAATTAGTTAATATAACGCAAGATTGCATAGCCCCTCGAAGTGAGCATTTTTAGGTTTTAAGAGTGAAAGAATTAACCAGATCATTTCTAGACAGAATATGAGGCAGGTATGCTACCCATGAGGCTCAGTATCTGTCTGTAATAGTTTATGGGGTGCTATTTGTGCAAGCTCTCTGGAGCAGAGGCTGTAAAGACTGGTACTATCCAGAGTAACTAGTGATTAATTCATAAGAATCCCGGAAAAAAAAAAAGCAGTATCCTGTGAGAAGAAATAAAACTGATTGAACTTCATAATCTTCTGTGTGTTTCATCCTCATTGTCTAGGACCTGAATAACTTGCAAAAGCACAGGAAGCAATGTAGCCAGCCTTTCTGGTCTGTAGTGTAACCTCACATTCTCTACGCAAAGATACACTCTGCTGTGAAATGTTCTGTTCTGACAATATTTTCATTTAGTTTTGACATACCTATAACCTGTTGCTTAGTCTAGAGAGGCCAGGTTGAAGGCTGGGATGGTAATGGGATTTGTAATCCTTAAAGGATCTTGTTCCATTGTCTGAAACTGCTTCAAAACACTCCTGCATAGCAGTCATGTATGGAGAAGTCTAGTAATACCTGAGAGTGATGTAAACCAGCTAGATCTGCACTAAATCTGGGATTACAATTACTAATGTAATAACTGTATTCTTTCAAATAGCAACATAACACCCCTGTTACATTCTGCTGAAGATCAGAAATACTCTTGTACATGAAGAGAGAGTAATAGATACTAAATGAAAAAACTTAAATAAGAAAGTCAACATAAAACCAAATAGTTGAGGTAAACTTTTTTTCCCATTCAAATAAAAGGTGTAAATATACTAATTAGAGTATAATTCTTTTCTATATGAACTTGATATTTTATATCAACTTGACTTTATCCCTGAAGCAAGACTAGAAATCTATCAATAAAGGCATTTATCATGAGCTTACAAAATACACATCCCAAGCTTATTTGGATTACATGAATCCTTTTAGGGTTATACAGAAATGTGGCATGTGTAGGCAGACATATTGACAAACCATGTCTGGGAGCATTAAAAGTAAATAAGCAAGGGAAAAGATAAGTTCTGAGAAGGATTTTGTACATCCAAGTTAATGCAGCATGTCAGGGAGCTGGTCTGTCCTCCACTGTCCTATAGAGTGAACCATACATTATTTCTTAGTACTGACAACACAGACAAATATATCATTATGACTTCTCATTACAGACTCAGAGAGACTTGGCCAATTGTGCATCACATTATTTTACTCTGAAATATATCACCTTACATTCCTTTAGTTGTAAAGCATGCTTACTGGCATCATAGATCTCCTGTTTATTTACTTCATGATTCATTTACATATGTTACCACTCTTGTTTCATTTTGACTTATATTAATAATTTTACTATAAAATGTTTCAAGCCCATTGTACCAAACCGTTGATGTAAAAACCTGCTCTTGCAGCTGGTTTCAAAAACTGAGCAAGAAACTCTTAATTCAAACCAAAACTCAAAAGACAAAAAAAAAAATTAGTAGGGTACATGCAAGCTTAATTGCTAGGCCCAGATGGTGAGGCTTGCAAAGTCCTAACCTCTTTAAACAGACATTAATAAGGAAAGCCAACAACACATACAATAAGTAATAAAGTGCACATTGATACAACAGTTATTTTGTGTTATCAGAAAAAAATATTATACCTTTATAAGGAAAAAACTGTGAATAAAGAGGAAAGTTATGACCAATTAAAATAATTTGAATAAATCTTAGTTCTTCATTTTTATAATATTGCAATATTTCTGTTAGCAGCCAACCAAGAACTCAGGCACAAATAGTTTCATCAA